CCTTAAGTCATCCTCACTTTCAGCAAGCAAAGTTGTATCGTCTGCATATCTCAGGTTGTTAATGATTCTTCCTCCAATCCTGATACCACGATGTTGTACATGGAGGACATTATGCTGAGTGAAATAAGTCAATCACAGAAGGACAAATACTGTATTAATCCGTTACTATAAAAAGTCAAGAAGTTTATATATGGAAGGAAATTTTCTTTGTTGGTTACCAGGGATGGGAGGGGAGGGGAGGGAACACTGCTAGATAAGTAAAGACAAGTATTGATTTGGGTGAAGAGAAGGACAGTGTACCAAATGTGAGTGATCAACACGGTGGCATTGAGGAAGAGGAAGACATAGAGAGGTGCATAGGAGGTACAGACAACAAAGATGAACGCTTTTGCACAGTGCTGTGTTGTCAGGGATGGCAAACAATGATCTATGGGTGGATAGATGAGTGGACAGGCTGAACTATTAGATGTGTCTATGCAGGGGAGACTGTGCCCATGACCATGTATGGGGTTGGCAGATAATGTTTCTACAAGGGTATTTGTATGTTCTGTAAGAGTTCCCAGGTATATAGTAAAGCTGACAAGGGACAAGGTTGTAGTCACTTCTTGGCCACAGCCACCTACTCAGAGGGAGCAAGTCGTTGGACCTGTGAGCTTGGGACCATGGTCCCAAGGGCCATCAAGCTCAATTGGCATAACATACTACATAAAATATTGTTCCACATCCTACTTTGGTGAGTAGCAACTGGGATCTTAAAAGCTTGCAAGCAACGATGCAACAATGGGTCTCTCCTCATCCAGAGCAAAGAAGAATGAAGAAAACTAAAGGTGCATGGAAAGAATTAGTCCAAGGGACTGGTACCCCATATGATCCTCAGCCTATATGACTATGAGACCAGAAGAACTAGATGGTGCCAAGCTACCACTCCCAACCACTTGAAGAGGGATCTATGTAGGAGATCCTGGAGAGAGTGGGAGAACAATGTGAAACAAAACTCAAAATCATTAAAAATAAATAAATAAAAGGGACCAGGTTTGCTGGTCTGATAGAACCTGGTGGAACCCCTGAGACTATGGCCCCTAGATGCCCTTCAGATCTGGAAGGCACTAGCCATCAGAGCTCCAATGAGCCCTCTTAGAGGCAGACAGGAAGCTCTGG